ACACCCCTTACACGTGATGTATTCTTTTTTGTTGTGGCTGTTGTTTTCCGAGACAGGGTTTCTCTGTGGCTTTGGAGGCTGTCCTGAAACTCACTCTTGTAGACCAGGCTGATCTCGAACTCACAGAGATCCACCTGCCTCTGCCTCCTGAGTGCTGGGATTAAAGGCATGCGCTACCACAGCCCAGCAAATTCTTGTACTTTTCTATACCAAAGGGCAGTCTTGGGCCCTGAGTCTCCCCACTCTTCTGCTTAAGGCTAGCAGCCAATTATCTCAACGGCTGTTTTCTACCCCAACCCTTCCCCATAAAGGGGGCCTCAAAAGTCAGTGAGGGGCTGCTCTCTGAAACCCCGACTTAGGGGGAGGCAGTCCTCCGGCCAGTCTCGTGTGCACTTCTGAATACAGCTTGCTTTAATCAGACAGACAAGGAAATGTTTTTTTCCTCAGGTGTAACATGAGGCTTCTCCCAGTCCTGGTAACCCAGTTTACTGGGCTGTGGAGAATACACCCTGGGGCGAGATTGACTGGAGAAATAAAAACTGGCCAAACAGGACAGATAACAAGGATGATAGATGTTGCCAGACGGCAGGCTCATCCTACTCTTGAGTGTGGGAAGGTGACTCGTGTCATCGTTTGGGGGAAGGCCACTAAGAACAAGGGCATATGGGCTTGGACTCAGACCCCTTGAAGATAAAGATGAAGACGCCCAGAGTTTACTAACCTAGGAGTCACAATCCCCATCAGCCCCAAACCTGGACACAGGAATTCAGAAAAACCACAGACAGGGAAACTATCTTTTGAGTCGATCTCTGCTGTCATATGATGTCCCTTCTGGGGATTTATGGGTCTAGAGCAGGGTCAGGGGTCAGTAAATCAGGTTGTTGGGAAGACTGGCTAGAAAAAGGCCTTCAGGAATTACAATTTTATGCATCCTCTACCAAGGGCAAGGCATCTGCATCACATCTTCCAATTACCTGGCTTTTAAAATTAATTTATTTATTTATTATGAATGCAACATCCTGCCTCCATATCTGTCTGCACACCAGAAGAGGACACCAGATTTCATTATAGATGGCTGTGAGCCAACATGTGGTTGCTGGGAATTGAACTCGGGACCTCTGGAAGATCAGTCAGTGGCCTTAACCTCTGAGACATCTCTCCAGCCCCAACCTGGCTTGTTTGTACTAACGGACTGATTAAACGAACCCCGGTTCAATGGAAAGCCACACCCCCACTCTATGTATACTGGTTATCCTCCAGGTATAGACCTATAACGGAGAAAAGGGAGGAGCTCATATTGGCCTTGGGTAAAATGTTAATAAAGGTCAAATGGACCCCAATTCTGTCTCTGATTCTAGTAGGGCTAGCCAGTAAAACCGTCATAAGCACCTTAGCCTTGACTGCTGGGAATCAAAACCTTGGGGAACTCAGTTCCCAGATAGACTAAAGACTTAGATCATTTGGAGAATTCTATTTCCAGGCTGGAGAGCCAAGTTAACGACCTCACAGAGGTAGTCCTAGAGAACCGAAGGAGGCTGTATCCTCTTTTTATGAAACAGGCGAGCAAGGGGTAGGGGTGGGGATGAGGGGTGGAGGGGACATGGACATGGCCTTGCATGGTTTCCATGACAACCAACCAGGGGTAATTATTAGTGGAAACCCTGCCATGATCAGAGAAGACCTCAAAGAAAGGAAAGAGAGGGCTGGAGAGATGGCTCAGCGGTTAAGAGCACTGACTGTTCTTCCAAAGGTCCTGAGTTCAATTCCTGGCAACCACATGGTGGCTCACAACCACCTTGAATGAGCTCTGATGCCCTCTGCTGGCCTCAGGCAGAAGACTGTATACATAATAAATAGATAAAATATTAAAAACAGTATAAATAAAGGAAAGAGAGACAGATTAGATGATTGGCATCAGTCATGGCTGCCCACCTTACTGTCAGCATTAGCTGGAATGTTGACTCTCTATTCTGGTCAAGCTAATGCTGGGACCCTGCATCCTCGACTGCATGGCCAAGTACATCAAGAACAATCTCAGTTAAGTGACCAGTCTCCTTAGAACCAACTGTGCAGCCCTAGAACGGGGCTAGTTAATGACTCGTGCCCATAGTGGGGGATGTGACGGGGTAAGGCAGTGCAGAGGTTTGTCTGCCTCTTGTATTCTTGCTCGGGCCATTTTAGGATTTAGACAGAATTTGATCTCCTTGATGGAGAGCCCAGTGGAAAGTTACCCAACTCCGTATTCTAGAGGGTCAAGATGTCCCAGCTGACTTAGCTCCTGTTAAACTGATATGTTGTGAAAACGTCCCCCTTGCAGCAGAGCAAGATACCAGGATGGAGTTTTTGTCTTTAAAAGCCCCTTGGTCGTGCCGGGCGTTGGTGGCGCACGCCTTTAATCCCAGCACTCCGGAGGCAGTGGATGATCTAAGCGAGCTCAAGGCCAGCCTGGTCAACAGGGCAGGTGGATGATCTAAGTGAGTTCAAGGCCAGACTGGCCTACAGAAGTCCCGGGACAGCCAGCTACGTAGAGAAACCCTGTCTTGAGAAACAAAAACAAACAAACAAAAAGCCTCTCAGTCTAAGTGCTCTGGGCTACACTTGGGTCCTCAATACTTGAGTGTAGGTCCTAGCTGGTTGGAATGAAGACTTTGAATTGGTTATAAACGTTGTCTGAACGGTCATTCTGGTGAGCCTCCTGTCATAGGCAAACTTTACTTTTTTGTTGCTTTGTTTTTCCAGACAGGGTTTCTCTACGTAGCTTTGGCTGCCCTGGAACCTACCTGCTCAGTAGACCAGGTTAGCCTCGAACTCAAGAGACAAAAATCAAGAGGGTACAACTGGAAGACAGAACAGAGACAAAACCGTGACAGTGTCTTCTCAACATTGGCTGGACTCGGACCTCACAGTCATTTTGTTAAGGTTTTGTTTTTTAGAGACAGGCTTTCTCTGTTACTGTTGGCATTTCGGAAGGGTTTCAGCACCAAATGTAAGCGTTTCGGGATGGGTCGGGACAGGATGGAACAGGAGTGGGTCAGGTATTCTGGCATTCGGGAGTCACAGAATACTCAGTGTTACACAGCTCAGGTGGGAAGGTATCCTGGAGCTCGGGAGCCAAGGACCACCACAGGTTGCAGTAAGCTTAGCAGCTTACAGCCCAGCCTCAGGGAAAGGCTTCCCCAGTGTATCGGCTCTGCACTAGCAGGACAGTGTCTTCCAGCTGGGCATGTTCACCCAGTGTAGCAGTTTTGCTCTGCATGAGGTTTCTGGGGGAAAGTTGCTACAGTTCAGCTCTGCTCCCAGAGAGCAGAATGCAGAGCAGGGAGCGGAGTGTAACAACTCTGCTCTACCAAGGGAAGGTTTCCCAGGCAAGAGTTACCGCCCTGCTAGCTCTGCTCTATCAAAGAAGATCTTCACCCAAAGCTCATTGAAGGGCTTTATTGGAAGGGAAGAATGGGTTAGCCCGAACAGACACAAGCTGAACAGACACAGGGTTTATATAGGGCTTCCAGGGTGGGGATTGGTCAGATTTTAGTGCCGAGCTCAGATTGGCTAGAGCTCTGCTCAGGGATTGGTTTTCTGCACAGGATTAGGGTCAGATTTGGCTCTGGTTTCAGGGCCAAAGTGTGTTTCTTTCTCTGGTCCTTTTTAGCCTTTTGGCCAGGGTGCATTTCTTTCACTGACTCTGATTCCAGGGACAAAGTGTGTTCTTTTGGCACTGGTGTCAGGGTACATTTCTTTGGTTCTGGTTGCAGGGCCAAAGTGTGTTTCTTTGGCTCTGCGAAGGGTGTGTTTCTTTGGTTCCTTTTCCCTACAGTTACATTCCTGGGTGTCCCGGGAACTCGATTTGTAGACCAGGCTGGCCTCGAAATTTAACTGAGATCCGTGTGCCTCCCAGCTGGACCTCACAGAATCTCATCAGCCTGAAAAGATCGGCCCACAGCTTCAAGCTAATCTGTGGAATAACAGCTTCTAATCTGTGAAATACAGCAGTGGGCGTCGGAGAAAACAAGGGCAGGGGGATTAAGACAGTTGCATTAAAAAAAAAATCTCAAAAGTTGCAAGAAACAAAAGATTCGAACTCCCTGAAGTGCATACAGGTTTTGCAGCAGGTAATGACACACGCGGTATTTCTTACAATCGAGCAGCAGTAATACGGCTGCAGGTAGGACTCGACTACCCAGCCTCGCTGCCCGCCTTCTCTCGGCGTAGTCAGTAATAGCCGCTTTCCTTAAACAAAGAACAGTTGCGTGCAATTAGCCCGGCTTCGGAATTCAGAGCCTAAAAACCGAAGCTCTGCAGTTGGGGGGTAGGGGAAGGGATGCAGCAGGCGGGAACTCAAGCCCGAGATGCCCGCAGCTGCACGCGCTACAACCTAACAAAGTCACGTTAAAACACCCCGACCGCGCCAGCGTGAGGGCAGCCCAGGCGCGCGGGAGAAGCTGCGCCTGCGCAACCAGCACGCACACCCGCGCCCGCCCGCACGCCCGTGCACCCTCCGCCACGCCGCCTCTCTTCTCCCGGACCGCGCCTGCGCCGCCACGGGCGAACGGCAAATCCCTCCGGGGCATCCCCCAACCGTGGCCGCCTTCCTTCTAGCAGATTCCACGGGCGGGCGCTCCGGGTGGGGGAGGAATAGGCTCGCCTGGCTCGCGCCTGGCTCGCGGCGGCGCATTGTGGGAGAAGCGACGCCGCGGGGCCGCGTGACACGCGCCCACCAACCAGCGCGCAGACCGCACTTTTGCAGTCGGCTTCAAACAAACTACCTAGCGGGGTCGGGCGGCTCGGGCCCGCCCCTCGGACCCGGGAGTCACGCCCGTGGAGTGTGTGTGGGGGGGGAGCCCGGGGGCGGGGCGAGCCGGCGGAGTGACAGTCGGGCGGGCCAATTAGAGGACGCGGGTTGCGGGCGCGCTGGGGCCTCGCAGCCAATGGGGGCTGGGGGCGGCCCGGGCTGGGGGCGGGTGGGAGGGAGTGAAGGAGAAAGGAGCGGGAGGGAGGGAGAAGGGGGCGGGCTCCAATCCGGTTCCATCCGGTTCTCCCACCGCCCCCGCGGCGGGTCGCAGCATTCCGTGCGGAGGCGGCCCAGGCAGCGCAGCTCGGTGACGACGGGTTCGGCCTCGCACGCGCCTCCCACCCAGCGCCGCCACGATGCCCAAGAGGAAGGTGAGCGCGGCGGAGGGAGCGGGGGATGGGGGGAGGGACGGTCGGTGCAGGGCGCGGCGGAGCCCCGGAGGGGTGCGCGGGTTCTGGAACCTTCGGGAGGGGGGGGACGGTGCGGGCCGCCGGGCGTGACGTCACGGGGCCGCATTGTTCTCCCCCGGTGCTTTGCTCCCGCAGGTTAGCGCGGATGGAGCGGCGAAGGCGGAGGTGAGCGCGGGCCCGGGGCGAGCTGGGGCGGGACGGAGGGGGGGTGTGTGGCTCACCGCGTCGTTCACGCGCCTTCTTCTTCCCCGCAGCCCAAGCGCCGCTCCGCGAGGCTGTCAGCCGTAAGTACCGCGGGGCCGGGGGCGGGAGCGAGCGGGACGGGGCTCCGCAGGGGCGGGAGCGGGCGAGCTCGGGGTCAGCAGGGGCGGGAACGAGCAGGATGGGGATCTGCATGGGCGAGCGGGCCTGGGGGCAGCAGAGACGTCAGTGTGCAAGCAGGGTCAGTATGGGTGGGAGCCGAGCGGTGGGCGAGCCTGGGGTCAGCAGGGGCGGGAACGATCAGGATGGGGATCTGCATGGGCGAGCGGGCCTGGGGGCAGCAGAGACGTCAGTGGGCGAGCAGGGTCAGTATGGGCGGGAGGGAGCGGGCCTGGGGTCAGCAGGACCGCGCCATCTCTTACGTTTTGGTTTTGTCCCCCACCCCACAGAAGCCCGCCCCTGCTAAGGTGGACGCGAAGCCGAAAAAGGCCGCGGGAAAGGTAGGTTCCCAAGGGATGCCTTAGAGCGGCTGCTTAGGTAAAGTTCCATGTGTTTAAGTGGTTTCTGGAAGGTCGTGGGGGAGCGGCTGGGTACTTCCTAAGCAGTTACCAGCATTTGGTTCTGCAGAGGACCCGAGTTCAGTTCCCAGCACCCATAGGGCTGGTGACAGACATCCGTAACTCTGTATTTAAGAGGCGTCTTACTCTCTCTGCTAACTTCCAGCACCAGGTACACGCGATGTAACTACACTCATACACAAATACAGGTCTTTTTTAGAATCCAAAAAAACTATGGTGCGCTGGAGAGATAACTCACTGGTTAGGCGTGTACACTGTTTTTTTTACAGAGGGGACCTGGGTCTGTTTGAGTGACAGACAGCCCCAGGGGATAAATAAGGTCTGATAACCTCTTCTGGCCTCTGCAGGCACAACCCAGACATGCACACACACGTACATATACGTTTACGTATTTTAAAAAGACTTTTCTTTCTTACAAGATAGGGTTTCTCTGTAACAGTCCTGGCTGTTCTGTAGATCAGGCTGGCCTCGAACTCACTGAGATCCGTCTGCCTCTGCCTCGAAAGTGCTGGGATTAAAGGCTCGTGCCACTAGCACCCAGAGTCTTTTTTGTTGTTGTTGTTTTGTTTTTGGACCTGAATAATTGTTGAACTGTTTTCCCAATAGTGAGTGGCTTGTTTTATTTAAGTCTGCATGTATGTGCATTCACGGAGTTCAGAAAAGGACCAAATAGTTTTGAGCCAAGTGAGTTCTGGGAATTGAACCTGGATTCTTTGGGAGAGCACCAAGGTCTCTTCTCTTCCCAGTCCAAGTCTGTGGTCTTTTCAAACACATCTTCAAGGCATGGTGATAACATCAACTAAGACTTTGATGTCAGACAATGCAGTAACCCCGACAACCTTAATCGGGTGTTCAGTTCTCTGTTGCTCCTCACTGTTCTTCTACGTATAAGCTGTTTAGCTTTTTTGTTTGTTTTTCGAGACAGGGTTTCTCTTCAAAACAGTCCTGGCTATCCTGGAACTCACTCTGTTATAGTCCAGGCGGGCCTCAAAACTCACGGGGGCCTGCCTGCCTGCCTCTGCCTTCCCGGTGCTGGGATTAAAGGTGTGCGCCACTACGGCCCACCTTCTATTTGACATTCTTAACTGTTTAAGTTTTTTAGTTTTTTTCAAGACAGGGTTTCTCTGTGGCTTTGGAGGCTGTCCTAGAACTCGCTCTTGTAGACCAGGATGGTCTCGAACTCACAGAGATCTGCCTGCCTCTGCCTCCCAAGTGCTGGGATCAAAGGCATGGGATGCCGCCACCCTTCTCTTCTTTGTTGATATTTTGAGCTGCCTGTAGAATCTTAAGTAGTAAACAGGATTGGTTTGTGTTTGACTTGTGTGGGTTTGGGGCAGTATGTGTAGTCTTGAGAGGTGAGTGGGGAGGTGTCTTGAGGAACAGACTTGGTGCTTGGCTTTCCCAAAGAAAAATTTTCAGGAAAGGGCATTACTTATATATTTATGCTTTTTCTTTGTTTGTTTTGTTTTTATGAGACAGGGTTTCTATGTATTGTTTCGGGGCTGTCGGTCCAGCCTGGCCTTGAACTCACAGCGATCCTCCTGCCTCTGCCTCCTGAGTGCTAGGATTAAAGGCGTGCTCCACCACCGCCCGGCTATGCTAATTTTTTATGCCCAGTTTCTTTAACAAGCCTACCTGCCTTTTTTTTTTTTTTTGGTTTTTTTTTTTTGGTTTTTTTTTTTTGGTTTTTACGAGACAGGGTTTCTCTATATTGTTTTGGAGGCTGTCGGTCCAGCCTGGCCTCGAACTCACAGAGATCCGCCTGCCTCTGCCTCCCGAGTGCTGGGATTAAAGGCGTGCGCCACCACCGCCCGGCTAAGCCTACCTGTCTTAATTACCCAACTTACAATGTCAACTTGTTGGTGTCATTTTTTAAAGCAAACATTTTGAAGGCTCAATCATACACAGGAAGACTTGGTTTTATTTCACCTAATAGGTGTTTTGTGTACAATTTGTCTAATGGATGCCTTTGTTGATTTGTTTTGAGATGGTCTCGCTGTGGCCCTGACTAGTTAGTCTGTGAGTAGTTTTATTGGAAAAGGGAGGGAGGGGAGAGAAAGAGGTAAAGAGATGACAGAAGGGAGGAGGGAGACAGGAAAAGTCCTGTCTGCTCCGGGCACACTGAGCTGGAAAAGACAGCGTAAGTGGGCAGGGTCTTTCTCTTAAAGGGGTCCTTTTGCACCTGCGTGTAAACTAGTCATAGAGCTCTGGGCTGACCAGGGTACTGCCTGAGTGCATTCTGCCACGTGACAGGTGCAGGCCAGCATAATACCTGGATCCTGAGAGTCTGGTAATCACAGGGGTCTGCCTGTCTCTGCTGCCAGAGTGCTAGGTTTAAGGTGTGTATGCCACACATGAGGCCTTTGTATTTTAGAGTGCTGGGTTCAAACCCAAGTCTATACCTGCTGATCAGCTAAACACAGAGGTGTCTGATACCACGTGGCAGTGCTCGTAGCTGCAGGCACCTTTGATCCCAGCCCTCAGGAGCAGGTGGAGGGATCTCTTCAGTTCCGGGACAACCACAGCTGTTAGGCAGAGAAATCCTTTCTCAACCAAAAAGAAAAAAGAAGGAATGCTGTGTGTGCTGTCCCATACCTTTAATCTCAGCCCTGGGGGGGGGGGGCAGAGTCAGGCAGACCTTGGTAAGTTCAAGGCTACCTTGGTCTACAAAGGGAGTACCAGGACGGGCTCCAAAAGCTACACAGAAACCTTGTTTCGAAAAACCTAAAAGAAAGACATACTCATGTTCCCTTACACTTACTGATTTGCTTCTTTGTCTTGGGACACTGTAAGTCAGCAGTCACCATAAGGATTTTAGCATTTATTGTATTGGTACATTATTTGTACCACAACCTGTGTGAAGATCAGAAGTTGAAACTGATTCTCTTTCCATGTGTCTGTGATGAAATCAGGTCCTCGGGCTTGGCGATCCAGCCTGGGAGTAGTTTGAATATGGCCTGTTGGCTTAAATTTGTCTTTTACAGTCTACAGAAAAATGATGGAGCTGGGCAGTGGTGGCGCCTTTAATCCCAGCACAGGGGCTAGTTCAAGAAAAATGATGCTTTTTGTTGTTTATCTGGGGTTTTTAGGGGTTTCGTTGCTAAGCTCCTTCCCTATAAGCCAGGTGGGGTCCAGAAATACTGTTTCACACTGGTAATGGTTTCAAGTTATATCTCACACTAATACCTGTGCTTTTCAGATTCTACAAACACCCAAGTGAAAATGATAACTCAAAAGCCATCTTTTTTTAACTACTCATTGTATGGTATCAAGCAAGGGGCTGTGTAGCAGGGTAGGCAGCATGACATTACAACATAGCGTTTGTCAGGGTGAATGGTCTGCATAACGTGGGTTCAAGTCTTGTCAGGACAGTGGTTGTTGTGTGGAACTTGGATTGTTCGTGGTTACAAGGCCTTTGCATTAATCTCTCCTCTGGTAATGAGCCATGGTAGGAGTTGTCTCCTAGTTGGAGTGACTCTCAAGTTGTCTAATACCGAGGCTTTTTGGGTTGCTGAGTTTGGCGCCTGGTGTATGTTGTGATATCCACTGTGCACAGTCTGTATCAGGTCAAAGTTGAATGCAAAGCTTACTGAGCATTGCTCTTGTTTCAGGATAAACCATCGGACAAGAAGGTGCAAGCGAAAGGGAAGAGGGGAGCAAAGGGCAAGCAGGCTGAAGTGGCTGACCAGCAAACTGCGGATCTGCCCGCAGAAAACGGAGAGGCGGAAAACCAGGTCAGAAGAGTGCATGTGCGTGTGCATGCCTTCCTGTGTTGATTTTGAGCAGCAGGTGTTAAATTGGATCTTTTATGCAGCAGACTAAGTTGTTTTGTTTTTTTGAGACAGGGCCAGGGTTTTTCTGAGTAGCCGTGGCTGTCCTGGAACTCGCTCTATAGACCAGGCTGGAACTTAACAGATCACAGAGATCCGCCTGCCTCTGCCTCCTGAGTGCTGGGATTAAAGCTGTGCACCATCACTGCCTGGCCAAACATACAGTTCTTACTTTTCTAACCTTACGTTATATTTGCTAAGCTTAGAAAGGCAAATTGGAATGTTCGGTTTTGTATGCGTACAAACATATTTGCCCTGTATGCATAGAGGCCAGAGGTCAGGGTGGATGTTATGGGATCCCTTGCTGATTGAAGCTCTCCTGTGTGCTGGGGTTACTGGTGGACTGCAGCACCCATCTGGCACTGGTGTGGGTGCTGGGGATTAGCTACATCCACCAAGCCAGCCTCCAGCTGCAATAGTATTGTGTACTAGGGTTTTTTGGCTGGTCTTATTAGATACTTGCTTCTCAATTAGAAGGTTTAGCTGGGCCGGGCGTTGGTGGTGCACGCCTTTAATCCCAGCACTCGGGAGGCAGAGGCAGGTGGATCTCTGTGAATTAGAGGCCGGGCTGGACCGACAGCCTCCAAAACAATACAGAGAAACCCTGTCTCGTAAAAACCAAAAAAATAAAAAATAAAAACTTAAAAAGATGACCAGGCATGGTGACATACACCTTTAATCCCTGTACTCTGGGAGAAGAGGAAGGTACGTCTGAGTTTGAGGCTAGCCTGGTCTAAGTTCCAGGAGAGAGTGTCTCGAGAAAGAAAAGAAAGCATGTCTGTAAGTGCGTTGGTGCTGTGTTGAGTGGTGGAGATTATGGCCGTGGCAGGTGGCATACTTGATCTTTCCTTTTCCTGTCTTTCGTCTGTAGAGTCCAGCCTCTGAAGTAGAAGAGAAAGAAGCCAAGTCTGACTAACCATCCATCGTGTCTGTCAGTGGTCCCTGCCTCCCTTCTTGTACAATCCAGAGGAATATTTTTATCAACTATTTTGTAAATGCGAGTTTTTTAGTAGCTCTAGAAACATTTTTAAAAGGTGGGAGGAAATCTCACCTCATCCCATTTTTTTAAGTGTAAATGATTTTTTTAAGAGGTTAAATCATTTGCTGGTTGTTTATTTTTTGGTACAACCAGAAAACAGAATGCTGAATCGGGAGAGGCTGTGACTGTCTGGGGCGGGGGGGTCACCCTAACATTCCGTAGAGGGGGCTAGTTTTATATCCTACAGCATAAAGCATACTAAGTGGCGATTTGGAGTCTTGGTCGTGCATTTGTGTCTGCAATATTTTCAGTTCTATGTGGTCTCGTGTTTCTAGTAGAACCGTTTCCTAAAAAACCACTCCTCAGTCCTTGGCCTGTCAGAACTGTGTCTGGTGGTCGTGGCCATTCGTTTTCCTAACAGTTGTGATGATACGCTGTGAAAGATGGACATTTTGAGTATGTACTGTACGGCATAAAGTTGGGAGTCAGTGGGATGGAGGAGTGTGAGCATTTGAGAGGCTAGAGCATCACTGAAATAGTTCACAGAGAAGCATCACGTGGCTCTTTGGGGTACGTGAACACCATGTATGACTTCAGAGATTGGGTACATGTGTTAAGAATTGAAATAATCTGTGTACTCTGCTCCTCACTCAACCAATAAATGGCAGTTGTGAAAGTTTGAAAGTGTCTCGTTGGTTTAAATTAGTGGTGAACTCTTGGTGTAGCCCTCGCTGTCCTGGAACTCACTCTGTAGACCAGGCTGGCCTCAAACACATAGATCAGTCCACCTCCGCCTCCCTGGTGCTGGGGCTAAACGGTTGCGTTATCTATCACACATGGTCACACATGGCTTCTCTAACTCCTGAGATTACATACTTGGTCTGAGATGATGCAGGGTCTACAGCTGGACACTGCGTCTGACTTATTTTTATGTGTGTTGGACTTGCTGATGACTGGGAAACTTGGGGTTATTGATAAACTGGGTCTTTGAATTAGTGCAAGCCCCTCACTTGACAAGATTATTGAGACAGTCTATCTTCATGTAACATAGGCTGGCCTCTAAACTTGTTTACTAGCCATTGATGACTTTGAATTGATTTTACTTGCCTTGCATGCTAGGGAAGTTACCTTCTAGTTGTTAGATGTGTATTCCTGGGCACAAACTCGTAGGACAATATCTGGGCTGGGACTGCCCAACATCTGAACTGCCTTGGGGGTCTTCCCCAATACCACCGCACAAATGGGAAAATTCTACAGCTGGGTCTAATGGCATACATAATAGCCTGGCTGCCTTAGGGGTTGAGACTGAAGGACGCCTGAAAGATGTGTTTCTCAGCTGGGCTGTCCCGACCAGAGGAGTTGCGAGGATCCGAGCTTAACTCCTCATGCTTCTCGGCTGTCCTAGAACTTAACATGACACGGTGCACACCTTCATGGGGGGGGGGGATTGCAGGGGAGGCCAGCCTGAGAGTCTCATTGGGTGCAGCGTGTGGTTAGTACCTGTAGAGACAAGATGGGAACAAATTTACCTTTGAAGTAGACATCTTGTCAAAGTCAATTTAGCGAGCCTATTAATTGTTCTTTTCACACTAGCTTGAACCAGGTGTGGTGGCATAAGCTTGTGATCCCAGTAAGTGCTGGGTAGTGTTGAGGGTCTGGAGATGCAGTGTGAGGAGTGACAGGCAAGGAAAAACAATGACAAATAGAGTATGTTACCGCTGCTCCGTCCCCTGAATGTGGCCTACCATGGAAGGAGGAACAGGGAGAGGCCACTGGGTTATGGGGTGACACAGTGCCTAAAGGTCAGCGCTGTAGTCTGTGTCCCCTGATAAGGGGCAAGCTGGGGACTCTAGATCCCTGATGGATTTTTAATTTGCAACTATGTATTGTTGAGGAGAGTCTTAGGACAACAACAACAAAAATGGTTTAACAATGTAAGTGGACCACTCTTGTTTGTGATACCCATTATCTTTTGGAAAGTGGATTTTGTTAGGCTTTTCTGGTAGTTTGAATAAGAATGCCCCCCCCCCCCATAAGCTCATGGTTGAATGCTTCCCCAGTTTGAAGGAACTGTGTGAGAAAGAAGGATTGGAGTTACATCACTGGGGCAAGATTGTGAAGTTTCAAAAACCTAAGCCCTCCTTCCCAGTTAGCTCCTTTTGCAGAAGACCTGGATTCAGCTCCCAGCACCCACATAGTGGCCACAACCATGTGTACATCCAACTCCAGGAGACCCTACACTTCTTTTGGACTCTTTAGATACCAACCATGCAAATGGTAGACACACACACACACACTCACACAGTCAAAATAAAAGACACAAAAATGCTTTAAATATGCAGGATAGTTGTCACCCTTGGTACCCGTGTTAAGTGTTCCAAAAGAAATGTACTTAAGCCTTAATTATTCATGACTTTTAACTTTCTGCTTTACTTCTTAATTTGAAGCCAATGTGAACTGGATATTAAGTTCAATAAAATAGCCGGGCGTTGGTGGCGCACATCTTTAAACCCAACACTCAGGAGGCAGAGGCAGGCGGATCTCTGTGAGTTCGAGGCCAGCCTGGTCTACAGAGCGAGTTCCAGGACAGCCTCCAAAGCCACAGAGAAACACTGTCTCTAAAAACCAAAAAAAAAGAGCACTGACTGCTCTTTCAGGGGACCCGGGTTCGATTTCCGGCACCCACATGGCAGCTCACAACTGTTTGTAATTCCAGTTCCAGGGGACCTGACGCCCATGGTTAAAGCACCAATGCATATTTCAAAAACAAAAAAAGCGGGAGGTGGTGGCCCACGCCTTTAATCCCAGCACTCAGGAGGCAGAGGCAGGCGGATCTCTGTGAGTTTGAGACCAGCCTAGTCTACAAGAACAAGTTCCAGGACAGCCTCCAAAGCCACAGAGAAACCCTGTCTCAAAAAAAAAAAAAAAAAAAAAAAAAAAAACCAAAACAAAAAGTAGCATAGGACTAGGAGGAGACACTCTGGCCACATTCCGAAAGACCTTTAAACTGTGGTGTAAAGGGATCTCCTATACCCTGTCTCCCTTAGAGCAGTGAGAAGAAATGACTAACAGCACAGGCTCGGTCAAAAACAAACTGGGTCTATAATTAGGGTGACATTTCAGTGCTGTGGAAGAGTGGGGAGGTGAAGGTGCTTGCCTCCAAACCTCACGGCCCAAGTTTGACTCCCAAAACCCACATAGTAGGAGAAAACCTACGCCTACAAGTTTTTCTCTGCCCTAGCTGGGCGGTGGTGGCGCATGCCTTTAATCCCAGCACTCGGGAGGCAGAGGCAGGCAGATTTCTGTGAGCTCGAGGCCGGGCTGGACCGACAGCCTCCAAAACAATACAGAGAAACCCTGTCTCGTAAAACCAAATAAATAAATAAAAATAAATTAAAAACCTCAAGTTTTCCTCTGCCCTGCACACGTACTCTGTAGCACACAGACACGCATACCCACCCACCCACCCAGAAAAAAATAAAAACGTAAGATGTTTTCTAAAACTTCCCACTCAAAAAGGCCTAGCTTAATGCTACATGCCTGTAATCTCAGTGCTTTGGGAGCCGAGGCGGGAGAATTAAAAATTCAACATCATGAGCCAGGAGAGATGGCTCAGTGGTTAAAGAGTCCTGGGCTGCCCTACCAGAGGACCTGATTCAATCGCCAGCTCTCACATTGATGGCTCACAACTGTCTATGTAGTCCCGAGGGATCTGATGCTTCCTTCTGGTGTGCAGACATACATGCAGACAAAAAATAAAAAACACCCATTCTTTCTTAACCACCACCATCCCCCACACACAGGACACTGCTCACTGTGGCCAGAGACATGAAGCTGGCCATAGCAGCTGCTGGCTTTGGAAATAAATACCTTGCTCCTGGTGATGTGTGCCTTTGCCGGTAGGAGGCCATGGTTTGCACAACTGTGTGCGATTGCTCCCTGGGCACCTGAGTCTAGCCTTTTCTCCCCTCCCCTTTGAGGCTGGGCTCCACCCATCCCAGCTGGTCTCAACCCCCTAATAGCTGAGGATGACCTCGTACTACTGCCTCTGATGGCAGGTGCCTGTCGGCACGCCTGGTTCCTATGGTGCCAGGTAATGTCCGAGCATCTGCTAGGTGAGCATTCCACCCACTCAACTGCATCCCTAGCTAGCCCTGACATCATTCTTCACCCCCTATGTAGCCAAATCTGTCCACATCTGGGATTCCAGATGTGTATGCTGAAATGCCTGGCTGGAGAACGATGCGTTGAGGTGGAAATCATGTGCGCTGATGGACATTTTTAAAGGCCTGACTCCGGCTGCTTAAGCAAAATGACCACCGCAACTGCTGATTGTGTGATGGTTAACCCTGACTGTCTACTCCACCCGGGAGACGAGGCTCTGCTTTGTTTTTTCTCCGAGACAGGGTTTCTCTGGGGAACAGCCCTGGCTCCTGGAACTCGCTCTGTAGACCAGGCTGACCTCGAACTCAGAGATCCTCCTGCCTCTGCCTCCCGAGTGCACCACCTCAGGCAGCCAGAGGTGTTTGCAGAGGGGTGTTTTGTCTGCTTTTATGGTAGATTCGCTTCCTGTATTATTGTATGAGTGTTTTGCCCGCTTGCATGCTGGTGTCTGCAAAGGACCAGAAGAGCATGTCAGATCTGGAACTGGAGTTGCCTATGGCTGTGGGCATTGGAAATAAGAGCCCAGGTCCTCTACAAGAGCCACAGTGGCTCTTAACTGCTGAGCCCTCTCTCTCTAGCCCCAAGAAAGGTCTGACTGAGGAGGAAAGACTCACTTGTGGGCAGCACCGTTAGGTGGGGGGCGTCCCAGATTGAAGAAAATAAGGGCAGTGCTCAACATAGGCATTCAAGTGTCCTGGAACCCACTCTGTTATAGTTCAGGCTGACCTCAAATTCACAGAGATGCACCTGCCTCTGCCTCCAGAGTGCTGGGATTAAGGGTGTGCACCACCACTGCCCATCAGTTCTGGAGGCCCATAGTCCAAAATAGTTTTTTGTTGTTTTTGTTTTTTATGTAATGCTCTGTCTGCCTGCAGGACAGAAGAGGGTTGTGAGCCACCATGTGGTTTCTGGGAACTGAACTCAGGTCCTCTGGAAGAGCAGCCAGTGCTCTTAACCTCTGAGCCATCTCTCCAGAACCCAAAATAGGTCTCTTAATAGGTTGTATATTGTAAATTACCATGTGCTTGCTGATTAAGATTGCTGACCAACTAGGCACGTGTGAAGTGTCCTCCATGGCCCATTGTCCAGGAATGAGGGAAAAACAGCCCAAGAGATTTAAAAATAGCGTTATGCCCTTAAGGACAGCTAGTAGGAAAGACCTTCCCAACAGAGCCTGCCATTACTAATCTGGTGGCATAGAAACGCCTGCAGTTACCAGGCGTTGGTGGCGCACGCCTTTAATCCCAGCACTCGGGAGGCGGAGGCAGGCAGATCTCTGCGAGTTCGAGGCCAGCCTGGTCTACAGGAGCTAGTTCCAGGACAGCTTCCAAAGCCACAGAGAAACCCTGTCTCGAAAAACCAAAAATAAATAAATTAATAAATAATAAATTAAATAAATAAATAAAAACACCAGCACATTCTTCAGACCACGCAGAACACGACTCGCCGGACCACAGCGAAGAATTAAGCAGATCTGCGCTCCCTTTTCCAGAACTGCTTGCATTCCTTGGCTTG